CAGCCCCCTGCAGTGCTCGTCTTGATACAACATTTCTCTTGCTCTTCAGTTTTATGAAGGAGAGAAAATTTGCTTCAGCACATTTTTTAGTTAATGATTGAGGCATCTTTGAACAATAAAAGAAAGAAAAAATGATTGAAGCATCACCCGAACAGATCCATTGACGCAGCAAAGCACTATTGCATGTGTGCAGTGTCCTTGCATGTTTCAAGGACACAGCTGTCCAGAAGAACCCTTACAGTGGCCTGGACAGTGTGCATGCATCCAAAGCCTGGCTCTCAGCGAAGCTGTGTGCGTTTAGGCACAGACTAGGGATTCACGGAATCTTCTGAGTCTGCCGCCCCCCGCCTGGCCTTGTCCTCTGCAGCACAAATGCTAAATCAATAGCTTGCCTAACACCCTTCTTGCTTTTCCCTCAGAGAAGTACAGTGAGGCATTTCAGTCTCTGTTAACTCAGAGAGTGCTGGTAAAGTGTGAGTTAAATGTGCTAAGAAAGTAACTTTTATTCTTGGGTTTGGAAAATAACTGAGCCCCTTTTGGCAGATCTTTGGTGTTTTCAGATATGTGAGGGATAGAATTTCTGGATCCTTACTTTCCAGGCTAGCAATTACACAAAGTTAAAATGTTATTTTAGTGTATAAATGCATAGAGAAAGGACTGGATGGACAGACACCAAACTCAAAAGGGAAACATCTGGGAAAAGAAATGGGGGGCATGGAAAAGAGAATGGTTGTGTTTTCATGTCTGTGTTCTTTACAGAACTGTATAATAAGACGTTAAAACTAATTTTATTCTAGTCTCAAGCATGCTTTTTGTTATGGCCCAAACAATAGAAATAACCCAAATCCTGATGTTCACTTAGAGACTTTATCATATCCTGCCTTTTTAAAGCACTTTTTGATAGAAAAGTTCATGCAAGTTTATTTTAATTTTATTAATAACCTGCTGGCTTGATGATTTATAATACAAGGTGTCCCCCAAAAATGTATACATACTTTGAATAGTTATTAATTCCAGTGGGTTAAATCTGAAAAGAAAGAAACACCAATTGAGCTATCAAAAAACATGCGTATACATTTTGGGGAGACACCCCATATATGACACTGTCCTTCCCAGGACCCTGAATCCCATGGCCCAGGTCTAAGGCACATCTCTCCCCAGTGCTGCAAGGTTAGGGACATTGCCTGGGGAGCTGGGAGGCCATCAAAGCTTCTTCTAGATGATGTGGGAGGAGGTGAAGCACCCACGCTCACTAGAGAGAGCCCCTCTAGGATGAGCAATGCCCATAGCCTCATCCTGGTCAGCCCTGCACAGCCCTTCCCCACCAGATTTACCTAACCTGCTGACCACTGGCGTTACCGTCACTATTGAACCAGCTAAAGTCCAAAACTAACTCGAGATCCTTGACTAAGGTTCAGAGTTTAGACCCAAAAAATAGCCATTTAAAAGGGAATACGTCTTGATTCCATTTCTTTCTTGTTTTATTTGATAAACTAATTGTTCATTCTCAGTGGCTAGGGACAGATATTTTCTTGTGTTTTGTTTTGTATTAAATATTGAATAGAGCTTGATCTTCTTAGAGCTCGGAGAATTCGCTTGTTAACATTAGATACTGACTATGCTGCAAAGTAAACTAAAATACTTCAAATCATTTCTTAAAATGAAACAAGGTCCAAAGACATAAATACTCTAAATCAAGAATGAGGTTGTCTGAAGATATCTAGTGTTTTATTAATTCTTTATGACCTTTTGATCACAAGGTAGAGTCAGCTACTACAAAGACATAGATATATAAATAGATTTTCCAGTTAACATGCAGCATGTTGATTAAAGTATAACTTCCCAAGACAGAGTCCAAGAGGTGAAAACGCCACATTTACCCACTGTTATGGCTCAGTAGGGCAGGCACAGGCCTGGCGCTGAACATGGACCAGTTTTATTTGTTTCCTATTATTGGAGGTCACTTTGGATTGCATTTTGCTTGTGGTTCTATAGTTTCCCTTCAAGTTTTTGAAAATTTCAATCCCTTAAAAATAAAATACTGTGGTTCCAATATAGCTCTGAAATATATTTATGTACCGCAGTGAATTTCAGATAAAACATGACCCCAGGAAATGGGCCTGCATAGTTAGAGTAGCTGTTATAATTAAACATTCATTATTGTGTAGCCCATTTTAATAATAACAATAACCACTATATGTGCGTGCACCAGGCAGAATGCAGACATTGACAGCCTTTCAGGATAGATATTATTATCCCAACTTACAGCCAAGAAAGAATCAGAGCTGATGTTCAAACCCAGGTTTGTCTGGTTCCCAAGCCTCAGCCCTCATCGTAGCCATTCAGTGGCGCAGTATTTAGTAAAACTTTGGTTGCAAACTATAAAATTCCATGATGTGCTTGGCCAGGCATTTAAATGTTTGGTTTCGTTTTTAACCTCACTGACATAGTATAATACAATAACAAGAGGACTGGTTTGTCTTTTATTTATTATTATCAATAATAATAATGATTATTTCTTTCCTTTAGCCACCAGCTAAATACCTCCTTCCCGAGGTGACGGTGCTTGACTATGGAAAGAAATGCGTGGTCATTGATTTAGACGAAACATTGGTGCACAGCTCCTTCAAGGTAAATCAACATAAAAGCCATCAGTGATCTCTGTGCTTCGGTCGCAGTTGGAGGGAAGCTTACGGTTGTTAGTGTGCAACTTCATTGCTCATGAAGAAGTCCCAGTAACAGTTTTTTATTAACTCAGGTGAACAGTAACTCAGGTAGTTGAATATTAACGTGATTGGTTTGGGGGGGGAATGCTCGGCTGCCAGTATCACTGAGCCCTCACTCTTATTATGAGGTTTGCGTTTCCAGCATTTTAACCCCTGCAGAAGCACTTTTCAGGTGGCACAAGGCAGGCAGTGCACCGATGCCCCAGGACACTACTGTATATTTGTCAAGGTAACCAGAGGGCCATATGTGTCGTTGGGAGGGGCCGGGAGGCACTGCCAGAGCAACCTGCTCTCCTGGAAGTTTTCCCAGGCCAGTTTTTGAAAGAGGTCCACACTTGAAGAAGGCTTCCAGAATTACCGCATCTGAACAGATTCAGCCGTTTATCTTGACCATTTTCATAACAAGAGGTTGCTAGGGATTTTAGAAGCTTCCCAGCTAAATGAGTACCCCCCTGCATGACTTTCCCCCTGCCGCGCTCGGGGCTTCTGTGACGTCGAGGTGAGTGAGCGTCAGGAAGTCTAAATTCCATCACCTTCCTCACTGTCCATCTCCCTGCGGGAACAAGAGCAAAAATTAATTACAAATCACCAGAGGACCTCTGTGCGAGAACAGCTGTAATTATACCATGAAGAAATGAGCTCATTAACCATTTTCCATTTTTTTGAAATGGAATAAATTATTTCAAAGAGGCCAGTGATGAGAAGGTTTGGAAATGGGGGGTTGATGTGCTAGGGGGAAGAAGTGGTGTTTGAGGTCCTGGCCCTGTTTGCCTCGGGGTATTTCTAGCAGTGGAGCCCCCTCTGCTATCGCTGGCCAGTTAGAACGCGTTCCTCTTTGTATCCGAATCCTAGGGCTCCCCTGCTTCACTGGGAGACATGGAGGAACCATCCATGATGGGGCACGTGTCTCATGTGAACCAGGGGGACGTTCTTCAATGGTTGTGTGGGGAGCCAAGAGCCATCAAATTCACCTGCAGACCTTAATGCCAAAAAATGTTCTCCTTGTGTTCCCACTAAACAGAGGCCTTCCTTGACAGGTCAGGGCCAGGGGCTTGTCTCTGAGTCCTTTGGAAGAGTGGAGGAGGGCCCATATTTACCTTTAGCAGTGAGAAATGGCCTGTCCGGCCACTGGGGCTTGTGGTATCACCTCATCTCCCGGTACCTCCAGAGCCCTTCCATGAGGCCTCATGGCCCAGCTCAGCTCCGAGAGGCACTGGAAGCCTTCCTCCTCCCCGGGGAGCAAGTTGCTCAGAACTTTTTCAAGTCTCTCTGGAGGGAAGCCCTTTAGAGCAGGGGTCAGTTGCCATCACATCATAGACAGCTTCCCCCCAAGCAGCTCTGGGAGTGTGGGCAACCCTGGCCAGACCGCCCAAGGTTACTGAGGGCTCCTGGCTGAAGAGTCATATTTGAATGTTCAATGTCATTAATATTGTCAGCCTTATTTTAAATATCCAGCAGTTTGTGAGTGTGGCTTAGACCAGAGCAGGCGAGGGAGGCCTGAAATCCCTGATGCTCAGGACTGGATGGAGCTATGAACATTCATCACAGTAGCTATGGAAGAGAGGAGAAACCGAGGTCCAGAGAGAAGAGCCTGCCCAAAGTCATGGTGTGTGGCCTCTGACCTCACAAGTCCTTGGCCCTGCTTTGTGTCCATGAGCTGAGCATCTCCTGCCCATCACAGGGCAGCTGGCACTTGTGGGTTTATTAATAATTATTGCCCTCCACGTAGCACTGTCCTCTGGGACTGTTGGGTTCTCATCACCTCCCCCTGATGGCCAACAGTGGTTCCCTGTTACCCTGGCTTTAGTCTAGAGCTGGAGTTTCTGAGGCTCCCGATTCCCTGGCCAGGCTGCCCCACCCTTTGTGGTTGAGGGAAAGGCAGGTGATAAAGAGGTTGGACCAAGATGCTGAAAATGTAACGATAATCAGGGGAAAGAAATAATACGCTTTCCTGCTTGTGCTTATTTTAAGGAACCCAGGCACGCTTCAACATCTTCTGAACTGTTTTTTCCAATAATAAAAACATTGGTACAGGCAAGCTTTTTTCTTGCTAAAATTTTCAATTTTATTTCATCCTTCCAGATGTATTAATCATAGTTTCTTTTCTCTCTAGCCTATTAGTAATGCTGATTTTATTGTTCCGGTTGAAATCGATGGAACTATACATCAGGTAAGAAATCAAAGCTAAAACTGTGTTTCCCTTAGCATTTTCTTAGTAATTACATTTCTTCTGAACTTTATTTCTAAATTCCCATTTCAGTAATACTCTTACTACAGAATCAAAAGGTTGCACACTTTGTAAAATAAATACAATGGTTTTCTGCTTTTTTTTCACTCGTGAACTTGTCTTATACTGAGTTTATAAGGGAAATTATAAATATTAGATGTGGTTGCAAGTTCAAATAGTTCTTTGATTTGATGCAGACTTTTAGAAGTTTCCATATCCCCCACTGCTCTAGCTTGATGGTCTGATTAACTTCCTCACGTAATTGCTCTCGGCTCCTCTCCTAGCAGGCAACAGGAAAAGGCCACATGTCAACCACGTAGGGTGGATTCTCAGGAAAAAGTGTCCATTTCCAGTGCCAGCCACTGCAGCCTGATCTAGTCTCTCTTGCATCATGTCGTCCAGTGAATCTTTAGCAAAAACCCAACCCAGAGAGGGAGGGAGAAGGGTGTGAGTTTTTGGACCAGCAGGCAGCGTTGAATAAAGATAAACCTAGTCAGCTGGCATGCATCTCTGTTCTGATTTTTTTTTTTTCCCCTCTTATCTGCATGAAGCTCCTCTGGGAAGAACATATTGGAAACACTGTAGGAAAAGTAGCCTTGGGGGCTGTGGAACGAGGGAGCCTTTGTCAGGTTTCCCACAAGGATGATCTGACCATCTTCCTGTCAACCCCACGGACTTAAAAGTGGGCCTCTGGACTGATTGAACCAATAGGTTTATATCCCAGGAAGGGAAATCTCTCTTGGTGCTTGAGCCATAACAGGATGTCTTTCCTTAATGATTTCAGTAGTCACTGGTCCTTGAGTGGAGGGTGTCAGAACTGCCAAGGCCTTAGAGATCAGCTTGTCTGGCCACCTCACTGTCCAGATGGGGAAACTGAGACTTAGCCAGAGAAAGTGCTGTTTCAAGGTCATTCAACATGAAGAATTAAAATGAGACTTCCAGGCTCCTGCTCTGCCAGGAGATCCTGCCAGGAAACCAACCCTGGAAAAGACAGCTCTGTCCCTAGCATCTCCACACTCCATGCTTTTAAAAGCCACCAGGGAGCCAAAATGGCAGGCACTTGGGCATTTAACATTTGCAAAAGCATCAACTGAATTAACTTAGCATCTGAGAAGCAGTTAAGGCTTCTGCATTTATTATCTTGGCTCATGTTACAAAGTAATGAGGCAAAGGAGAGGCTGCCCACTGGCATGGCAAGAATTAGGAGGGAAATTAATACCTCTTGACTGTGAGCATGACCCTGGGGGCCTGACCCGCTATGGCCAGACCATTCTTGAAGGAGCCAACCCAGCTCCCTCAGCCTCCCTCCCGACTGTTCTGTGATACCCCAGGGCACCAGGGCTGGGATCAAAAACTCTCTCCTGAGGGAATGAAGCCACAGGCGCCAAGAGAGGACCAAAGCCCTGGCGAAGGCCGTGGCCTCGTTCAAGTAATCCAGGATAGGCTGTGCAGGTCCCAATGGGCCTATTCTCGGTTACTTGCACGGGGACGCGGGCCTGGACGCCGGCATCCGGGCCCAGGACCCTCCTCTCTGCCAGAGGCACCAGCACCAGAGTTCCCAGATCAGTCTCCCACTTTTTGCATGTAGCAGAGCTTGCTTTCCAAGCGTATTCCCAGGGAGACTGAGGACCGCGGGCCACACCATTTTCTGCACCAAGAGTCTCATGGACAAAGTGAGCTCCTAGAGCTGCTGCAGCCATAGGCCCTGCCCCTAGCCCCAGCCATCCTCCCAGCTCTGCAGAGCCCTGTTGGCACCCACCCCAGGCCTTTCTGCTCCTTTGGCCCTTGCCGCACCTTCGGCCACAGACCCATGCTCCTTTACTCTTTTGGTCGGCTGCGCATTTCTCACCAAGTCCTGGCTCTAGAGAATTCGTCTGTGTGGTACAGAGCCCCCTGTCTCCCCTCTGTTGCTCCTCCTGTAGGGATCTGACATGCTCCATCTGCCATTCTCGGCCCCGCATACTCACTCCCACCTGTCTCTCACACTTGGTCTTTAGCCACTTCTCCTGTCCCCCATCTCCCCTCTTCGATGGTTTTCTCTGAAGGGCTGGTCACCCAGGGCTCTGGCCATTCTCTAACACCCCAAGTATTTTCAGTCCAGGTCTCATGTTTATACTGTTTCCTACAGGGAGCTCACTTACCCTCACTGGCCTGGTGAACTCCAATTCATCCTTCAGGTTCCAGGACAAATATTACCTTCTGTGACTCCCTCCCCTTGAGAGGGGAGTTGATTGTCCTTAATTTACCCCTGTGCGATAACTCTTACTATGCATGTTTACTTCGAGAAATGTGTGTGTCTGCTCTAGAGTGTGAGCTCTTTAAGGGCAAGGCCTGCATTGTACCCCTCTTTGTAGCTGCTGCAGCTGAGCAGAGCTGAGGCTGAGTGAACTCGAACTGAACTGAATTTTAACAAGCTGGATGTATTTTAGGGAAGCGGCTAATTTCTAATGGAATTTATTCAAGTTTTAATTAGTTCTTCCCTCCTCCTACCTCCTCTATCTTCGTTCACCAGCTTTGCCTTCTCGCCCATCTCCCCATTTCCTCAGATTTGTTCAGGCTCCCCGGTCAGGAGCACAGAGCCCCGCCCCTCTAGAAAACGCTTTGCTCGCCTCTGCTCAGTGTCCCCTTCTGATTGCTCTGTGTCTGGGGCCTGGGATTCAGCTGGCTTCACATCCCCGAAGTTCTCATTTCTGTACCAAGCCCAAGCACAGTGCCCTCTGTGATGTCCATGGTGCCTTCCCACGCCCACGAGCAAGGTGCTTCCTCAGCAGGCCTTCCCAGCAAGGAAAGTGTCCCCATCGGAGAACCAGCAGAGCAGTCCCAACCTGCCGGGCAGGCCTGTACCTCCCAAAGGGCGCCTACGAGGTCCACCATGGCCTGTGTCCACATGGAGCCTGACCCAGAGCATGTGCCGAGACACACACGTGAAATGAATGAGTCGTTTCTCACAAACAGGGCTCGATCCTTCCACTCCCTGGTTCTGAAAATCCCAGGGCCCTCAGGACCCTGCTCAGCTTTCCTTTCTCCCTTGGGAGGAGCATCTGCACCGAACTCAGACCCGGAGCCCAATCAGAGGGTGTGTCTGGCCTGAAGTGCCACATCCGAGTACCGAGCCCCTCATAAAACCTGGGTCTTCATACCACACGTGGACCCTAGGGGCAGGAGGTGGGAACCATTTCGGGAATCCTCCTGCGCTGGTGTTTGGGCCCCCGCCCATCCCCAGTACCTGCTCTAACTGACCGGCCTGCTGCTTCCTGCCGTTGCAGGTGTATGTGCTGAAGCGGCCACACGTGGACGAGTTCCTCCAGAGGATGGGGCAGCTCTTCGAGTGTGTGCTCTTCACTGCCAGCCTGGCCAAGGTGAGTCCTGCCCCCAGCCCCGAGCTCCCAACCCCTCCACTCCCACCACCCCCCCGTCTGTCAAACAGCCCTTTGTTAAGGCGGGGAATGTGGTTTCTTGGTGACACATTCCCACCCCAGATGGGATGGATGCAGGCCATGTGCACAGTGCCAGCCTGAAAGGCTTCTGGGTTACCATGGTGACAGGGAGCACTTGGAGCAAATGCTCCATGAAGTTGCTGCATGCAGCCGCCTGAAGCTGGTTGTCCACAGAGCAGGAAATCACAAATATGTCCAGAGCAACCAAGAAAGGTGTCTGCATCTCACCTGTTCACTGGCAGCCACATGCTAGAGGCCCAGGCCTCTGTGCCCTCGGGTTAGTTACACGGGTCTGGGGGAGAGGTGAGTGCCAGCGACTCACCCCCATGCCTGGCCCAGTTAATACTGACTGCACTGAGTCCTGTGACCTCAGGCCAGTTACTTCATTTCCGCACCTCAGTTTCTTCTGTTGATTGGGGATCACTTCATTTACCTCGTGGGATGGATCAAAATAACGCACATAAAGGGCCTAGCACGGTGCCTGACTCGTGTTCGGCAAATACTCGTGGATACCTGTGCTCCGGACGCTGTGCTGGGCAGTCACACGGCGAGTGCTCCTGGTGTCCTTGTTCATTGTATAATTGTAATGATGATAAAACAACCACACGTTTTGGCCCTGTAGCTTGGTATGAATCTCTGACCCAGCGTCTACTTGGCTCTAACCAAATAGAGTGACTTCTTTGCCCCCTCCCACTGTTTAAGGGAATTATCGGGGTCACGGGACCCCCAGTGTGGTTTATTCTATCCTATAACAGGTGCACTGAAGTGCCTGTGCTTGTGGGACAGGCAGGCAGGCCCCCGTTCCACCGAGGAGATCCTCGCCATGACCATCTCTCACACCTTGGCTCTGGTGGGGCCAACACCATCCATTTCTTAGTGGCACCACCAGTGTCTCTGTGGGCACCTCAGAGACCCCAAGTGGCCCCAGTGATGAACTTTGTGGAGCCCGAGTTAGCCACGCTCCTGTCTCAGACCTGCTCCGAGAACTCTCCTGCAGCTGCTTCCCCCATGTTCTGTATCCAGATGGCTCCCTCCTCTGTGTCTCTGTATGTCAGGGCCTCTTACTCCAGGTTCCCAGACGTGCTGCTTTGCCCGCCTGGGTGCTCCTGGTTTGGGCCATCTCTCTGTCATGGCCAAGGTGAGGGAGAAACTTACCTGTACAACATTCTGCCAGGCTCCTTGCCAGGCCTTAAAGCATGAGCTGGCAGAGATAGAATCCAAAATCTGGGCCTCACTCGTGCATGCTAAATCAAGACCGTGGCCTCAGGGAAGACATAATCTTCCTCAGTGCACTCTTTCCGATGAATGGTACCGCTGATTGCATTACAGTGTCCATGGCTCTCCTGCCAGTGCTCTGGGGTGCTGAGGGCCCGGAGTGATAACCAAAGAAATGGTAAGCAGGAAGGTCGCACTGGTGCCGGTGGACTGTGAGCTATTTTTTCTTTGGCAAAATTGAAAACACTCCTCCTTGGCATTGTCCCCAGCATCATCCTTGCTCAGTCTTTTCCTGGACTGCTCCCACCTGCCCCTCCATCTGTCTCTGCACCCTGCTCTCGCTGGTCCTCCAGCCTGGCTCGGCCTTCCAGCCTCATCCTTCCCTGATGCACGGGTTGTGCTGACAGGTGGCACTCCCCAGTGCTTGGCTCCGGGCTCAGCTCCCAGCCAGCACTGTTGGTGCAGTGACCTCCTGGCCTACTGCCCAGGGGCCACCAGGAACCCTGAGCTGTCAGAGCCCTTCAATAGCTGTGTCCTCATCTTAGTTTCCTCCATTCACTCATTCACCCTACAAATATTTACTTAGTCCCTGCAGTGTTCCAGGCACTATCCTAGGCCCTGGAGATACAGCAGAGAACTAGAGACGAAGTCCCAGTCCTCAGGAAGCTTGCATTCCCCTAATTCATCTCCAAGGCCTGGAGACCCTAGACTTGGACACTCCCTTAAAAGATGTTTGCCACCACCATTGTTAATGGTTATGAGGAAATTAATCTTTTCCACGTAGCGTGAGCTCCCTAGAACCCGCCCACGTGGTGCTTGGCTGCCTTGCCAGCAGAAAGCTACAGTGCCCTGAGCTTTCGCCCCCTGGTCAGCAGGAAGTACAGCCTGCTCCTGGACTCCGCCTCAGGATGTCTCTGGAGAGAGGAGCTCTTGGCATGGCATTGGAGCTGCTGCGTGTGGCCCTGTAGCCCTGCTGGCACCTGCTCCACACTCGGGCTGCCGTGCCTTCCTCTGCTGGCCTCCCAGCACCACCAGCCTTGGTTACTTTTTGCCTCTGGGACAGAGTCGCTGAGTCCCTGGTGACACCTGGCTTTTGCCTCTCACATTGGGGTTAGAACCACCACTCTTGCCTCTAGCTCCAGCCACTCAGTCTGGCCCAGTCTTTTAGATATTTTCATTTATGAAGATTTTCCCTCAGGGATGATGCCTTTATTTCTTTACCATTTCAGCCTGTTTGGGGCAGAATTCCCCAGGCCCTGAGAGGGGGCCAAGCAGGATGATCCCCAACTGCAAGCAGAGCTCAGACTCCCATGAACTCCCAGGATCCAAGTAAATGTGTCTGGGCCCCATCCTGAGACAGTCAGCGGCTGGTCAGGCCCCATTGCCTATAGCACCTCTAGGGGGCAGTGTGGCCTAGTGCCACGCAAGCCCAATTCAAAGTCTGCTTCTTTGTTGTTCCGTGTTGAAATTAGTATTTGCCGAGCCCCTGCATGGGGTAGGCACTCTGCAAAGTGCTGGGGGTGTCCTGGTGAACACGACAGGCAAGGCCTGGGCCCTGGCAAGTGAAGAGAAAATAAAGTAATCCCACGTGGTGGTGAACTGTGCAGGGAATTACTGTGAGGCGGTAGAGTGATATCCTAAAAGGAAGGTGCAGGAGGACTCTAGGTGGATAAGGGACACCAAGGCCTAAGAGATGAGATACAGGAGAGGTTCATGCAGAGGGCTGGGGAGAGACTGTTAGATGCAGAGGGAACACTGGTTCTCACCATGTTCAAAGCCAGTGTGGCTCAAGTGATTCGAGATGGGGCAAAAATCACACAGCTGCAGCCATAACGGGGTGCGGCGCCAAGAAGCATGGGCCTCATTGCAAGTGAGTGGCTGGAAAGGAGACCAAGGGGAGAGCGAGATTCTAGAGGCGCACCCACCATCCCAGGCCGAGATCAGAGGACTGGACAAGTGTCGTGACCGTGTAATAGAGAGGCAGGGAAATTTATGAGAATTCCTGATGGATGTGAGAAGTGAGAGAAGTGGAAGAATCCATGGGAAGATAACTGGGATCCTAAAACAGCTGCTGATTTAAATCCCTTTCGAGAAAAGTGAGCTGCATCTCGCTGCAGTGGGTCAGGGCTTCCAGGCTCTGTCAGGCGCCCAGCTTCATTGCAGCCCCTGCTTTCTAGTATGCAGACCCTGTGGCTGACCTGCTGGACCGCTGGGGTGTGTTCCGGGCCCGGCTCTTCCGAGAATCCTGTGTTTTCCATCGAGGGAACTACGTGAAGGACCTGAGTCGCCTTGGCCGGGAGCTGAGCAAGGTGATCATTGTGGACAATTCTCCGGCCTCCTACATCTTCCACCCGGAGAATGCAGTAAGTAGCTCCCGAGATGAAGAGTGCTGATCTTGTAGGCTTGCTGGAGGGTGGTGCGGTAGGAGGGGAAGGGCGCTTACTTAACAGTGCTCGCGATGGGTAAGAGCTCAGTGAGCCTGTATCATCTTAGCGTTTTTGGTACGAGCACTGAGAAGGGTTCTGTCACGAACCTCCTGGAGCTGGCTGCTGCCCAGGACTTAGACCCCTGTAGACTCAGAAGGCTGGGTGACATCTTCAGCAGAAGTATTTCTTTCCTTTTTTAATATGTCTTTATTACTGATTTTAGAGAGAGAGGAAGGGAGAGAAACATCGATGTGAGAGGGTACCACTGACTGGCTGCCTCCTGCATGCTGCCTACTGGGGATCGAGCCCACAACCCAGGCATGTGCCCTGACCAGAATCTAACTGGCAACCTCTGGGTGCGTGGGATGACAACCAGCTGAGCCACACCGGCCAGGGCCAGAAGTATTTCGTAAACAAGAATGAATAAGACACCTTAATAAGGTCTTCAGATAAGGCTGCCAGGCTTTACTGCCTCGTAATGATGTGTAAAATTATACAATGGGAACATTTCCTACATAAAACTCCCTGGAGTGTGGCAGCGATATGTCTGCTCACTGGGTGCAGCATGACTCTCAGAACAAGACATCTCCTGCCCCACGTTTCCAGGGAAGAGGGATCAGCCAGGCCCAGTGCTGACTGCTGACCCTCCACAGTAGCTGCCACACCAGGCCCTCACCCAGCTCAGGCGGCTTTCCCTGGAGAGGAGGCTCCCTCCCCGCTCCGCTTCTCAGAATCAGCAGGAGCCCACACTGGGTCCTTTTCTTGAGCCCAGACCTTGGTGTCTCCCCTTATAATGTAAAAATGAGTTCATACTAGATTCAGTTAGTGTGGAATCGGGAGGTCACAGTTCGATTCCCGGTCAGGGCACATGCAGGAGGCAGCCCATCGATGTTTCTCACTCACCCATGTTTCTATCTCTCTGTTCCTCTCCCTTCCTCTCTCTGAAATCAATAAAAACAATATTTTTTAAAGCGGGGAGGGGAAAGACTGGCTGGGGTGGTTCAGTGGTTGAGCATTAACCCATGAACCAGGAGGTCACCGCTCCGTTCCCGGTCAGGGCACGTGCCCGGGTTGCAGGCTCGATCCCCGGTAGGGGGCGTGCAGGAGGCAGCAGATCAGTGACTCTCATCATGGATGTTTCTATCCCTCTCTCTTTCCCTTCCTGTCTCTGAAATCAATTTTAAAAAAACATATTTAAAAACGGGGGGGCGGGCAGTCAGGCTAGGAGCAGCCGGGCCCTGGATGCAGAGCTGCTGCCCTCCGCACTCCCTGTCGTCCAGGTGCCTGTGCAGTCCTGGTTCGATGACATGACGGACACGGAGCTGCTGGACCTCATCCCCTTCTTCGAGGGCCTGAGCCGGGAGGATGACGTGTACAGCGTGCTGCACAGGCTCTGCAACAGGTAGCCCCGGCCCTGCCCGCGCCTCCCGCCTGCGCTCTCGGCCCCCCGCCTGGGGACCTGCCTGGCCGCCGCGCCCCAGGAGCCAGAAGCAAGGACACTCCGTGCTCCAGGCCACGGGGTGACTGTGGCCATACCTACCTGTTTTATTTTTTAAAAACAGAAACAACTATTTTAAAATGAACTCTTTTAACGAATTTCATAAGGGGACATGCATTTTCCTGGATTTGCTTTTCTTAAAACATACCAAAAAGAAAAAAATGGAAAAAAAAAAAAAAAAAAAA